CCCCTGTATGAATATCCAGCCCAGGAGGGCTGCACTGATAGGTATAGAATGGGAACACTGGTTGGTAACTGCCACAAAGCAGCCCTGAGAGGAGGCATGGAAGAATCATGCTATTTACACACTATAAAATGTATTAGTGACAAAAATGTTCAACCTCAGCCTTGAAACACCGAGTTCCTACCTACAGAAACAAGCTCATCAAGGGGGTTCCAGCTGCATCTTCATCTCTGTTAACGTGGTTGAGCTCCTGGGCGTGCCTGGCTGGACCCTGGAGACTGAGTGTGGTGGGGCTGGGCACCACCTGCCTGTGCTGGCAGGATGAGCCTCACAGCTTGCATACAACCTTCTTGGCTGTCTACTCAGAAGCAGTTTTGCTGGAAAGCCCAGCACAAAACCTTGCACCTGCTAATGTGAGGAGGTACAAAATGCCCAGTGCAGGAAACAGTCTCTCCCCAGAGAAATGTTTCCACCCGAACAGAGGTTTTGCATTTGCTGCCTATGAATGCAAACTGCCTCTCCCCTCAGACTCTCTCCAGCTCCCCCACCCCCCCCATTTAGGGTACATTATCAGCCAGATCCCCTCATACTACCTTCACACCACTCTGCAACGCTCCTGGGTTTCCAGAGAGGGATTTCAGGCAGACAGAACGTCAAGAAAGCAAACTACAATTTTTCAGGGCTTAGGGACTATTGAATTTGTGCCCGCACTGTGTATGTGGCATGAGCAACATCTGATTCCTTCACATCCAGCCATTCTAAACATTCAGCTTTCTATACAGCATCCTAGGAGGCCCCAGAATTTATAGCAGGGGGTAGCAGAAGCATTCCCTCCCCCTGCCCTTCTTTGCCTCTCCATTTTAACCCCTGAAGCATATTTGCAGGTCCCCAGCAACACTAAGCTGCCACAACCTAAAAAAACAACCCTCCTGAAACTCTCCCCAGTGCCTGCCTTGTACTGACACTGTAGAAACACAGCCCTTGAGGAATCTGAAATTCACACTCTGCTGCAAAAAAACCCAAACACCCTCACACCACATCAGCAACACCAAATCCACCTTCCTTGGGTGCCAGCTCAAACGTGAACCTCGAGAAGCTGCCTCACCTCTGGCTGGGCTCCGTGCCACTCCTCGCAGGTGGCCGCAGCAGGGCCAGGGCCCGTTCAGAGGGGCTGGTGTGTTCTGGAGCTCCTGACAAAGCTCAGGGAAATGCTGCAGCAGGGGAGAAACACACCCTGCACCCCTTGGGCTGCCAGCAGGGAAAGCCATCCTGCTCGGAAGCCCTCAGCACAGGCAGCCCCTGATGCTGCCCATCACTCACTCCAGACCACAGAACCTTTTCCCTTCCCTCCACCTGTTACAGAAGCCAGGGGGGAGGTAAGCAGCTCCCAGCAAGTCCCTCACAGGAGACTGCACCCTGTGCTTGCCCCCAGCTGAGCCCCATCTGGGTATTGCAGAAACCCCAGAGGCACCTGTGAGCAGCCCGGGGGTGTTTTGTAGCCCCCTGCACCCTATTCTGCCCCAGGGCTGTGGGGTTCTAGGAAAGGGAAAGTCAGCGTTCTTTTCAGTAGTAAATTATTTATTTTAAACAAAGACTTTGAATTCTGAAGGCTTTCCCCCCTTTGATGCTAAGGCAACATCCCCTTACGTATCTGTGAGGGTATCAGCCGCGTTGCTACTAACCTTGGCAAAAGCATCTGGACCTTTGGCTGGCCCCACACCTGGGGGTCCAGGTCCCGCCTGCTTTGGGGACAGGTGAGGCCCTGCCCTAGGGGAACCTCCAAAACCCGTTGATGAGGAGCAAGCAGCCTTGCCAGCACGGGGCTCAGGGCAGCCCTGGGGTGTGCAGCACCCATCCCTTCGCAATGCCTCCCACCGGGCTGGCACCACCAGGGCACGGCCGCCGCTGCAGCCCCCGGCCCACGCCGCGCTTGTCCCCGCAGGTGAATACAACACCAACAAGGAAGACAACACGGAGCAGCGGCGGAAGGTGGTGAGGATCCTCCCTCACCCCACCTACAACGCCACGCTCAACAAGCACCACAACGACATCGCCCTCCTGGAGCTGGAGCGGCCGCTCAGCTTCAACAGCTACGTCACCCCGGTGTGCGTGGGGAGCAGGGAGTTCACCAACGCTCTGCTGAAGCACGGGATGGGCACCGTCAGCGGCTGGGGGGGGGCGGCCTTTCCCGGCCCCCCCGCCCCC